TTAGTAAGATTGATTACTCCTGTGAGTTTCATGACAACAGGTCTATCGGTTTTCCTTGAAATGTGTTAACAGTGTTGCATATATGCTAAAAAGTGAAAAAACAGCATAAATTCTACAATAATGGCCCGATCATGCTGATTTTCGAACTTGACCTGCGTTTTATGAATATTAGTCAGCTCTGTAAATATAAAGCCACAAAGTAAAACTGTCTTCCACTTATGGTGTTAACGCTGAAAGTGCACGGCGACGGCGACGGCGACATGATCGGCGACGACAGACGCAGGTGATGGCAATATGTACAGACACATCTGTGTCTGTACATAAAAAGAAAAATGTCTTGTTAGCAAATCTGGAAGAAAACGGATACAATTAACACATGGCAAACAATCTTTATTTCAACAGTGAACATATTTTTCATGAATTCAGACCCCCAAGAGTTATAAAAATATAAAAATTTCAGCAGGTGATCTTATTATCATAAAATGTTAATGTGTGAATAAGGACCATTGATTCCCACAGATACCCTTGGTCTATTTGGACAGACCAAACTCTGCGGGGACTCATGCTTACTACAGTCAGCTTAATTGAATCACACGCCTCCTCCTGGCGATAAGCAGAATACAGAAAAGCTGGTGATTATATATACGTATGTTGGAAACAAAAGGAGGCGTGTCATTCAGTTACACTGATTGCACTCAGCAGGAGTCCCTGCAGAGTTGGGTCAATCCATGTAGGCAGACGGGGTCTTAGACTAATACACTTACTGTGGTATTCCTATAACAAGGTCCATGTGTGCCATAATTTCATCTTTAGTTTTACTATCAGTGTCAATTACCATCTCTGAGCCATCATCTGAAAAGAGAAAAACCGTTGTGGACGGTAGTGGTCAGTTGTGCTAGGTTGTGGATGGTGTTTAGGTACACCGCAGGTTTTTCTAAAAATGAAATCTATGCTATGTGACACATTCTTAACTGTCATTGGCTTAGAAATCCCCTTTAAAATGAACTTCTAGTGGAGAGGGTACAATGGTCTTACCTATCAGGCACTGAATACATGGTATAGGGGTCATGTTCTTACCTATCAGACACCGGATACATGGTATAGGGGTCATGTTCTTACCTATCAGACACCGGATACATGGTATAGGGATCATGTTCTTACCTATCAGGCACCGGATACATGGTATAGGGGTCATGTTCTTTCCTATCAGGCACCGGATACATGGTATAGGGGTCATGTTCTTACCTATCAGACACCGGATACATGGTATAGGGGTCATGTTATTATCTATCAGACACCAGATACATGGTATATGGGTCATGTTCTTACCTATCAGACACCGGATACATGGTATAGGGGTCATGTTCTTGAAAATGGCGATCTGTACTTGTGGGTTCTGATATCTGATCTGTGGAATGTGCCAAAACACAATCTGCCTGAATAGGATAAAATGCAAATGTTGATAGCTGTATACAACATGGAAACTATTACTGTTGACTAGCATGATTCAGATTTAAAGTGTCTTTATCCAATTGAAGAACCTCAGCCTCAGGTATTTTGTTTACAGTACGCACGTTTCAAATCATGTACATGGTATAGGGTATACAACATGGTATACAACTTGACTTTGTTTCACTGATAACACAACAAATTTGTTTTCTTTTCATCTTCACTTGGTTAATTTTCTTAAAGGCTGATGTATTGCAACAAGAACGCAGACGGTGGACATCGTTAATTTCACTTCCATCCTTACTTCAGTCCAGTACTATTCTTCTCATCAACGTTGTAGTGTATAATCATCGTCCTCACTCCTTTCCTAATTCTAAGATTCCCGCTTTTCAAGTAGTTTAAAGACCGACGAATGGCAGCTCTCCCTTTTAAGAAAGGCATTGTGTGTAGTGTTTCTTTTACTACAATAAAGTCCAGTTAAAACTTAACAACTAATTTTAATAATCAACTTTACTCAAAGCATGTCGCATCCGTAAATGGGTACGCGTTTTACAGCATTATCCAAACCTTAGTACAAAGTTGGTGAAACCTGGGATAATTTTCCAAAAAATATTTTTTATCTTTTATCAGATGGTTGACAGAAGATTTTCATACGTCTTTTATATTATAGGGTTGAAACAGGAATAACCTTCAGCGACCTTCAATGCAACAACCGCAAGTAGGTACTAACGAGACGTATGGCACCTGTCGGCAGTAACGCTGCAAAAGCTGCAGGAATTGTAGTGCTTGTAGCGGGTCTGGTGTTTGTAGGATATCGTATCAGGCAATATATTATCAAGAAAAAGAAACAAGAAAACGAACCAGAAGGTAAACATTCAGTAAATTTTATTTTCATTTATCAAAAATATCTCATGTTTTCTGTGAAGTCAAATTGCCCATGCGTACTGTAAAAGCAAGTTTCATTGGAGCAACGTGCGTTTCGTCATCGACAGAATCGATTACCTACTTTCCTTTTCTGGAGTACAGCTGGGCTCCGTAATTTATTCCCAGGTGTGACTTCCAGACCATGAATAAAATGTCACGTTTAGTCATTTGTAGGACGCAGGCGACCTTGTTAATGGGGTTGTCATGGTGTCAGGATGTCACTCGTGTTAGATAGGCGGAGTGACATCAGCATTTTGATGAACGTGTATTCGGTATAACATTTACTGCAAACGACAACAAAATAGCGAGTAAAAGTATTTTTCTTTCCCCTCTGATAATGTTCTTATTTCTGTAAGATAAAAGATATAGATTATGCTAAGTGACAACAAGGGAAAGATATACCCATGCCACTGATCAAGAATACATTGAATATTGTAAAACATCCATTGATGCGGATACTGCAAGTGAACTATAGGTATAAGAAAAACATACTAAAACACTGAAGATTCTAGGTTGGCTTTTTCTAATAAAAAACAAGTATTGATCTTGAAAAAGCTCATATTTTGGATGTTTCATTTGTGAATTTAAACTTTATTTTTAACCAGTAAAATTATATGGTATGGTTAAGATTTTCTATGAGGAAAAAGATGAAAAGTGTTTTCATTTTTATTTTGTTCAGATTTCCATTTTGTAGAAGATGTGTCTGCTTCGTACAGCTCAGAGAGTCCGTCACTGTCGACACCAACACCACTTGAAGAAAACACCACGTTGAAAGCTACAGTCAGAGAAGGTAATGGTTGTTTTGATGCCAGCAGTTTAGCTAATTTAGTCCATCAGTAGAGTCATTTGACTAACTAGTATACCTAAAGTACAAAGAATGTCTATAAAAATAAAAATCGCATTGGTATTGAAATCCCATTTTTTTTTAGAAAGCATTGTAGCAAACAAATTCTGAATTGGATAAAATTATTGTAAAATGTATCATCTGTTTTCAACAGATTTATTCATTTAAAATAATTCACCTATTTGGCTGAAAGAGATTTTACCGCAGAGTGAGTCCAATCAAGTACATCATATTTTTAGTGACTATTGTAGGGAACCACTGGTCTCATATCGTGTGTCTAACAATAGAATTAATGAAGGGAATCAATATATAATTATGTGTAGGGAATACATAATTGTATTGAGAGCTGGCAACCTTTACTGCATTCGTGTAATGATGCAGACAGCTGACAATTAGGTAAGCAATGTTTGGCATATGCTGTAACTCTCAGCAGTGGCTCAACAAGGAGTCAGCCAAAACAAAGTGTGTTTCTGGTAAATGCCTGTATTCTAAACATGTAATTTCTTGATAGTATGGGTGCATGTATCTATGGTAGTTGCATGCTTTTCACTGCGTACTTTCATCCATTTATACTCTCGGAGACTAAGACTGTTAAGGAGAATTATTAACAGATTACCAAAGTTTTTTTAATTGATTATTTTTATAAATTATTTGTCGAGATGAAGTTTTTGAAATTGATATTAGGCCTTATAATGCCCAAAGCCAAACCTCTTTTGTTTTATTACCATAGCTTATTATTATTATTATTATTATTATTATTATTATTGTCCTATCATACCTTCTACTCCCTGTAATTCATATGAAAAAGATGAGTCAGACTGTGAGAGAAAAGTTCACCAGAATGTTATTCTTGATAGGAATGTATTGAGTAATCCCTCAGGGTTAGAGGAGCCTCTTGATATGCATCCTCACCTGGATATTTATCATCTGGAACTAGTTTTCCCCTTACATGAGTACAGTCTAGTCTTGTATCTGAGAAATTGGTTCAAAATTTCCTCAGTTGAAATGGCATGCACCTCATTTAATAACTTTTATGCATGATTTCAAAGAGTACCAGTGTTTATTTGACTTTTTTTTGGGAAAACTTTTGCTATCGGCCATGGTATATTGATTCTCATTTATGAGATTTCATCATGTAATCAAATTTTACTTTGTTGTTTATACAGTTGTTGGGAAGTCTCTTTAATCTGGAGCTCAATTGCCTTTAGCCTAGTGTGTACTGCTCTTGCTTTTTGGATTCTTATTGAACCTCTTTCTGTAAATGTTATTTAAATGTCACACTTGAAAAGAATGATAGAAGCAACACGCCTGTATACTTAAATACTTAATTTGATTTAGCATTGTGTATACTTAATATTTATTTGTTTGGGGGGGGGGGGGATTGAACTTCTCAATGCAGTTGCCTCATAATAATACTGTACATTTAAAAGACTGTTTATACTTAATAAAGGCCACTTTAACTCCTGTTTCAGGCTCAGCAGATGAAGAAGCCAAGGGCAGTCAGGACTCCAGCCAGAATGTTTCGTCCAACGTCCTCACACCCCTCACCCCACCAAATAGCATCTCCTCCGACCTCACCCCCTCCACTGCCCCCAGCATGCTGCACAACTTTGAGATGGTGGCAGACTCCCTGGCTAAAACTATAGGGGCAGGGGAAGAGGGGGTCAAGGACACTGACGGTGAAGGTCAAGCTGAGGTGAAGGTCGATGAGAAAGGTGATGGAGAAGAAACCAAGGATGAGGAGGAAGATGAAAAAGAAGATAAGAAAGAAGAGATTTCAGAACTGCTTGATGTTGCATTAGCTTCCCAAGATGCAAAGGTAGAAAAAGAACCCAAGGAATCCCTACAGGACCGTATCAAAAGCAAAGCTTCAGAAATCGTTAACACAGTTGAATCTAAAGCTGCTGAACTTTTGAGAACAACAGACAAAGCCCTGAAAGAGGCCACAGAGCATGCAGATAATAAAACTCCTCTGGACAATATCTCTAAAGACCATTCTTTCAAAGAAATCACAGATGCTACACAAGCTGCTGCAGAAGGTGCTATAACACATGCCAAAGCCAAAGCAGACGAGATACAGAATGGCGTCACCAGTAAAGTCTCCCATCTGGAAAAATCAACCAAAGATGCAGTCCATGAAGTATCAGAGCAGGTTGGGGCAGGTGTCGGTGTCCCTGGGGAGAAAGCTGCCAGTGCTGCCTCCAGGGTGGTAGAGACAGCTAAAGCAGCCGTCCATGGTGCTGAAGCCAAAGCTGCAGAGGTGGTAAGTGCTGCTGAGACGAAAGCCACAGAAATCATGGACACTACCAAAAGTGCTTTCTCTGGTGCCGGCTCTGCCATTGGTCACGGAGTGGAGTCCATTACAGCAGGTGTTTTTCGTTCTAGTCCAAAGAGTGAAACTGCAACTTCTCCGAGTTTAAAAGAGGATGCAGTTACCAAAGAGGAAATTTTGCCAGTTCATGCTGCTCCTGTGGGGGCAACCCCTCCCCAGAGTCTCTCACCAACAAAAGCCGTTACAGATGATGATGTTCAGAAAGCCTTAGACACTCTTATTCATGGCTCACCAACAAGAGAACGGTCACCAGGTGGCGCGTTGTATGAGAGATGGTCACCATCCCCTTCAAGAGAACCAGTGATATCACCTCTAACATCTGTCCAGGATGAGCCCAATTTGTCACCTCCAGGGGTCGCTACAAACTTACCTCCTGATTCTGGAGAAAGTCTGTCCTTTGAGCTGCTGTCTCCACCCACCAGCATGGTGTCTCACCAGGGTCAAGGTGAAGGTCAAGGTGAAGGTCAGCAAGAACTGGACTCCAGCATGGGCAGAATGAGTGGGGACTATCTAGTGCTCGGACAGGACAGTAGAGGGCAGTCCGATGAAGGAAACTCTTCCAGTTCATTTGAGGTTCTTTCTCGTGAAACGGCGAGTGAGAATCACCAGAGACAAGAGGATGTGCTGGATGTGGAGGCAGAGGAGAAAGAGGAGGCCTCTGGACAGTCAAGTGATGAGAAGGAGGAAGTCGCTGTAGGTGGCAGCAGTGGTGGTGATGGCACAGGAGAAGCTCAAAGCAGTACTGAGGAGAGTATGTCTGATTCCACGGACAGTGTGAAGGCAGCACCTAAGACAGCTGAGATAGAAAAAAGTGTAAGAATTGATATGCAATTGAATGTTTTAATGCATTTACTAATTCTCTTCACATCTTTGAAATCAAGTTACAAGTCAGCTTGTTTGTTTTTGGGCAGATGATTTTCATTTTGTTTTAATAGAATTTAAAATCTTAATGAATATCTCTCTGATGACTACATTTTCAAGTTTTACTGTCCTATTTTATGTTAATGTAATACAACAACAGGTAAATTAATTATATGTTCTCCTTAATCTTTTTGTATGTTACAAATTTTCAGAAATAACAAAAAAAAATTGATGCATTTCCAGGGTCAGGCCCTTGAAGTTCAACCTAAGCAAATGGTGGCTGCCAAACTGGTCACAAGAAAACCAGCAACACCACAGAAAGGGGCGCCAGAGGCCCAATCCCAGAGTACACCAGAAACCCAATCCCAGAGTGCATCAGAAACCAAATCCCAGCCAGTGCACGTCAATCTACGTGAAATGGTGGAGGGAGCTCTGTTCCCTGGCGGTGAAGAGGAAGATACACTGCCGTCTCCAACCCCAGACGAGATGAGAGCCGCGTTATCAAGTGCCCAGTCCGGTACCTTGACCAAGAGGGATGCAGAAGTATTGGTGGCGCTGCTGTCAAGTCCTAACCAAGAAGAGCTAGAAAGACTGCTCACCACCATCAGCAATTGTGCTGCTTTCACTGTGAATCAAGTGAGTGCAATGTTGTAGATCTTGCATGTATAAACAGTTTAGAAATGGCATCCAAAATTCGTAAAAACAATACCACCATGCTCTAGTTAAGTAAATACCTTAAAATCATTTTCACCTTCTTATAAAGTAACAAATATATTTTACCCTCTTATGTTTTTATCAAAATCTGCAGAATTCCTTGCAAATGTTATATAATGCAGTGTACAGAAATACAACTTAACTTAATTTTTAAATTTAATTTTATCCTATAAACACATTTCGTCTCTTTTGTAGAACTTACTGCGAGAGTCAGGGGGTCTGGACAAGGTAACGAAGCTACTGGACAAATATGGCCGCATGCCAGATGACCAGAGGTCACAGAAGGTGGTCAAGGCAACTGCCCAGGCCATTGCTAACCTGGCCGTGAACACAGAGAACCAGAAACATCTGAAGGTGAGTCAGCAGTTTTGATGTGCAGTAAAATGAGTAGATGAATATTACAGGCCTGCAGTCGGCATTTTCAAAAGGGGGTTCTTTTTCTTAAAAAGCTCACCTTTTTTTGTAGCTATTTGGTTGGGCCAACATGAGAATTGGTATAAGACTCCAGATTTTTTTTTTTCATTTTCAGGGATGCATTCCAAACCTGATAGACACCACCCTGTCTGAAGAGAACCCAGAGCCAGTGTATCTGGCCTCTCTGCAAGCCCTTACCAACCTCTCTGTAACAGACCGTTACCATGGTGACTACACCAGGCTGATCCAGAAGTTGTATTTACTCCTAGATGGCGCTGGTGAGGCTGTCAAAATGCAGGCTTTGAAGGTTCTGGTCAACCTGTCATGTAATGCAGATATGGTGCCACATTTATTAGCTGCCAAGGTAAGCAAAAGCATAAGAAAAACCATGTTTTTCTTTGATTTAAAGGGTAAACTTTAAAATCTTAGTGAAAATTTCATTGAGTTGAAAATAAGGCACTTGACTGTTTGAAATGAAATGGTATCTAACAGAAATTTCCTATAGGGTCCAATAGGATGTCCTATGGGAAATTGGCCAAAAGTCCTATAGGATCCTATAGGACACATGTCTTAGATGGGAATCCTGTAGGACATGATATCATAACATATTTTGGTTAATTGTTCTAACATTAGGCAATATATTGATTTGCAGACATTTGAATTTCTTACAGGCCCCAAAAGGAGTACTCAGCATGCTATCATCTAGTGAGACAGAGGACGTCCAGCTCAGGTGGACCACACTGCTGGCCAACATCATGTCCACTGTGTCCGAGATGGGACTGACCATTAAGGATCTCCCAATGACCTCCAAGGCACCGTCCCCCGAGACCCTTTACGCGGCAGTGTACGGGGTGCAGAGCGAGATGGCGTTGAAGAGCAAGGTGTTTGTGCTGTGCAGACATAAGAATGAAGATCTCGCTCAGCAAGCCACCAGGCTCTATGGATGTTTCTCTGTTAAGTCTACTTAATAATGTTAACTTAAGGGAATGGTTGCAGTGTTACTGCTCTAACAGAGGTTGGAGGATTAACGCCGTCTTCTCTAAATGCTATATCATTTATATAATATAAGCATATGCTTGTATTAACTGTATGACTGGAAGGATCACAAGGACATTGGGGCATGTGCTGCGTAGAGACACATCAGAGGCAGATCTTTATCTTCCTAAGTAGCCAAGATAAGAATTTTGCCACTAAGACTAACAGTCTGTAAAATTACAATCATACAAATTGTGGATATTGTCTGGAAGTACTAAAGGATTTGTAATCGGCCTCTGAAAATCAAGTGGGACTATGGTGCTTACTGCTTCCTGGAAAGGAACTAGTCACTTTGATATTACATTTTATTATGTATTGTTATTTATGAAAAGATTCAATGCAATTGGAGAAGGTACAACATGTTGAAGATGGGTGGAATGTAAAATAATCTAATACTAGAACCAAAAAGAGAGAAAAAAGACACCTAATCTGAGATTAGTGTCAGTGGAAGAAATATTTTAGACTTAAGAAAAACCTCGAACATGGTCACATTTATTATAGCACATAACTCCAGAGACACAAATGTCGAAATGTTGATATTGTATATACTACTAGTTCATCAGTTTAAATGTTAAAAATTTCTCTCACACTTTGAATGTTATTTGAGTATAGGTGAAACTGAAGTGCAACTCCCTGCAACCAAGTGTTAGGCTTTAGTAAAAAAAAAAGGTGCCTTGTGTCTTTAAAAAGATCCCAGTGTGTGTTGAGCAAAATACTTTGGACATTTTTACCTTTGATACGGTACCGTTAAAATGTCTAGAACACATTTGTGGTCTTCCTTTACCTTGATTGCCTCTAGATTTGTCATTTTGCCATGTCCTGCAAACATATCCCCATAGTACTTTGTGCAATTGTAACTTTGATATTTGAGTCTTTCACACTGCAATTTTCCCCAGAAATGGTGCATAATACAATGTTTGTGGATGTTGAAGTGCAATTAGTTCCCGCAGTAATTTGTGGCTGAAGTCATGAGGTGCCCTTGATTCTGTGAGACTCCGCTGTAAAAAGAGTGTTGTTTATGTTAATTGATGTTTTTTTGTTAATTTTTTGTAGCTTGTGGTGGACCTGAACTCTTGTGACCAAAACATGGACGTCACAAAAATCAAGATAAATGTTACTGTTATTTAACTTGATTAAATCTTGCTGAAATAATCTTAACTCTTCCATCCATGTTAATTATTCAAAGTTTATACTTTAATAAACCTGAATAAGGAGTACTTTTAACATTGTTGAACATAGCGAAATGTTATAGCATGCAAATATGTGTATAAATATACTGCCAGGGTTGCCAGTTTAACTTTTGACAGATTTCCTTGTGTTAAGACTCTTGTCTGTATTAAATACATAACAATTATTAATTAATTAATATCAAGACTGGAATACATTCTTAAAGCTTCATATCTGTTGATGATATTACATTATGGAAATAAGTGATCTTTACATGCTGACAGCTGATGAACTGGCAGCCCTGGTAAGTTGTTGTCATTATCACAAGGAATGAAGTTTGATGTGTGCTAGCAGGGGGAGCCTCTAGCTTACTACTACTGGTCTTTACACCCTGGGTATCAGAGGTGGCTGGAAATGGCACAGTGATGCTGAAAATAAAAATGGATTTCCACTTATCTCAGAAACTCGGTGTAATACTTTGCAACACTTGTGCCAAATAAACATTTTCTTCTCTGATTAGATTGTCAAGGTTTGATTACTCCGTATGCTTGTTTTTTCCCAGCATAATGCGATGGTACTGTGGACCCCGTCCCAATGCTCCAAATTTCTATTTAATCAATCTGTTAGGAGCTTAAGCACCTCCAAAATGCTAATAAAATGGAGCTGTAACGTTGTTGGAGAATTTTCATGAATAAAACTGATTAACTGGTAAATCATACCAGTCATCTTATGTAAACCTCAGCTGCATTAACTAACACAGCAAGGTGGACAGCAGATTAATCACATCAAAATGGCGGTAGGGAGGGATGAATAAATACTTCAAGGGTATTTTTTATGCTAACATGCCATATTTTTGCAAAAGTGGCAACTTTCTAAGATTAAGTTAAAGAGTTGCTCTTATTCAACCTTTAGAAAAGAGAGTGAAGTATTATAATCATCTGTAATATGCTGAATTTAGACCTTGGAAATTGGAGACAGAAGAGCGTTAAAGTAATACTTAATGTGTTCAATTCAGGGCATGGTGCGGCGAGCAAACACCTTGTTCTCCTCCTGCCTAAAATTCCTCATGCCTTGTGTGCGCTGCGAGAAAAACAGCTACGAGACTGACGCGGACTCGAAACCTCACCAACCTCAGTGTTACATGTGTACCATTACTCTTTGAACTCACGGATCCCCGAGAGAAAGGGATTTTAAGACAAAAAATAGAAAAAAATTACTAACATGCATGTATTTTTTTTTTTTTTTTGAAAATTGTGATTTTTAGTTATATTATGCCCTTGCTTTGTGAGAACTCTATGGTGAATACTTGTAATCTCCAACTTTGATGTTGAAGAAGGCTCTATAATCAGCTATTAGACCTAAATTTAAGGATACTCCGTCTTTGTAATTATGTAGCAAATTTTACAATTGATTAACAATTAATGCTTTTACTTTTACTTAACATCTCAAGGGAAAAAAATATGAGAAATGCGGGTAGCAAAAAAAAAAAAAAAAAAAAAAAAAAACACTGTTTA